TGGGTTTCAGCTTCAGCAAACTCCCACGCAGTATGGTAGGCCTCTTGGTACGTGGCTGGGGGTTTCCGGCAGAACTCCTTGTATAGTTCCCCGGCACGCAAGCCATTCAAGAGGAGGGAGAGGACGGTCTTGTCATCCATCTCTTCCACCTTGTCCACCTCTTCCTTCCACCGGGTAAGGAACTGAGTCAGGTTCTCAGACTCCCTCTGCCCGGCTGTACTAAGATAGGTGAATTTCTTCCTCTTAGTACAATTCTCCTGGAACTTGACCTTGAATTTTGAGGCCAAATCACTGAACGAGTCAATGCTTCCCGGGTGAAGCTTATTGAACCATTCAGTGTCTCGGTTCCGCAAGGTCTGGAAGAAAAGAAGGCACTTTTCTTCATCGGTGCAACCGTTCATGGTCGCACTCTGGTTGAAGGAGTCCAGATGGATTTCCGGATCTTCCTTCCCGGTGAATCTGGGGGTGTCGATCTTGACCTTTCGCGGGAAAGGTGTCAGATGGACCCTTGCGGTGAACGGGGACCCTGCCAGGGGTTTGTCCCGGTCATTCTTCTCTCTGACCTTCTTTTCCAGCTTTTCCAGCTTTGCCTCCATCTGCTGGACGCGGTCGTTTGGGATGGTTAACCGGTTCGCCACCGGTAACCTGGGCTGGCTCTCTGCCTCCCCTTCCTGGTGAGAGGCCCTCGTCCTTGCCGGCTCCTGCCGGTTAGACCGGGAGCGCCGGGTGCGGGCAAGCTCGGCCTCCCGCACCTCGCCTAGCCGGGCGAATGCGCTGACATGGGCAACACTCTGCCCCAGCCTCTGATTGGCTGACTTCCTCTGGCCTTCCTCCCTATTCCCCAGCCTTTCGAAGGCGGAGTTTCGGGAGGTTGCTGGCCAGATGTTCTTTCCTTTCTTCTTCTTGTGGGCCCTTGGGATGTCCCACTCGCCGTCATCACTCTCAATCCAGATGCAATGACCATCAGGAGTGATCTGCGGATCCGTAGCTTGCGGGGGACGCGACGGCCCTGCAGCGTTAAGTGCACCGGCCAAGTTGACAGGGGCCATGGTGCTGACCAGCTGGGGCTGGAAAGGTGATGGTTGCGGCATCGGCGTCTGGAACGACGTCACCGCCATCAGAGTTTGTAGGGGCATGGTCCCCGCGCCTGGAAGGGCGAATGGGAACATACCAGGGAGGAAAGGCATCCCCCCGTTCTGCTGGCACATGGCCATGACCTGGCCAAAGCCCTGGATGGCTTGTAGGTTGGCTGGGTCATTCATGAACTGAGTCATGCTTGGTGGGAACGTTACCCTCGGTCCAGCGGAAGGGACGGGGTCACGAAGGGACTGATCACGCTGGCCGTCGGGACAGAGCTCAGGCCCAGAGGCAGCACCGGGGCTGAAATGACCGGTATGGTAGCAGCCACAGGGATGCTGGCGCCCTCATTGGTGGCTTGCACCTGTGCGGAAGTAGCGTTGATTTGTTGACTGGAAGACATTTCGAGTGGTGTTTTGGTGGGTAGGTTTGTGTTTAGGAGAAGAAACCTTAACGATCCCACGGGTGGCGCCAAAAATGATGGTGTAAATTACTTGACCGGTCAAACTATACTAGACCGGGTCTAGAATAGTTTGCTTGATTTGGCAAAGTAAGAAAGGTAAAAACACGCAGATTGACCGGTAGGACTTTAGGTGGAACACCTGTAGCCCAATTTATATTATAACGGAGAATGCACGGGTGCTTTTACAAGGGAGTTTAGAGAGAGTGAATTCGGATCCCTCTTTCTGAGGTTTACATGAGTATTTATACTAGGCTAAGGGGACAGGACCACTTGCGCCCACGTGGGGGCATGCTGCCGATGTGGTGCGAGGCGACTGGTTTCATCCTCAAGCTGCCTTGTCGCCTTGTGAAGGGGATCATTCCCTTTGTCAAGTAGTGCCTTGGATGGATTCTTCAGCATCTCCAGTTGTCCTCTACTGACACGGGTCGCTACACGCCAAACCCTCGCAGATCCTCTCCTGCCGACACTTTCCAACCCCAGAAACTACACCGGGTAATCTCTGAGGGATGAATTTATCGAAGTCTGGAACAAATAGGATGACAACGTAGTTTGACTGGTATACTTTTTGTGAAGTGTACCGGTCATATTTTGGCCGATGATATATCATTTTGCTGACGATTAAAGTCTCCCTTCCAAAACTTTCGAGATTGACCGGTCAAAGATTTGACCTTCTCCTTTGATCGGTCTTGGGTGAAATCCACCCATCAATGGCGATATACCCACATTATAAACTTGTACTCATGTCTGGATTCCACATTATAAGCTTTTGCCTTAATTTTCGTAAAAGAGTGGATTCCATGTCTGGAATTTTAAAGACTGATCAAATAATTATTTAGCGTGAGATAAATTAAACTATAGTTTTAGAGTGACAAATTAAAAACTCGATTTATTTTATAACATAAGCTTCATCATACCCATTCCTTAAACTCTTTTTCTTTAACTCTTTCTTGCCCAATCACTGAACTTTTTTTTTTATTTTACAAATCATATGGGGATGTTGGGTCATCGCCCTGTAACAGATCACCTACATTTACAAACAGAATGGTCACAAACTTCACAAACTTATCATTTATGGTTTAAATTTTCTTTTAAAATTATTTTAGACTTTTTAAAATTTTTGATTGAAGTTCACAAATAGTAAGTTTGTAAATTTTGTGACTATTTTGTTTGTGAATCTAGCATTTCTATTTCATGTTTGTTTTATATATACCCAAAGCAGGATAAGTCCTCCCTGTTTTTTAAATAAATTGCATTTTCACCTTCTTTTCTTCTTTTCTTTTTTTGATATTTCAGAAAATTAAAAGACAGGTGTTTGGGCGGTATCAATTTCATAAGAACCTCATGACGCGTGGTCGTAACGTGATTTAATAAACTGATTTTTTTGCTTGCTAATTATTCTTATAATAATAATGTGGGAATTTTATTAGGTGTGTGTGAAGTGTGATTGTTAGAATATAAGAAACATTTCTAGAGCCATAACGGCAAGTTTGAGTTTTTGGTTGAATTGGTTTCTTTGACATGGTATTGGAGCCTTGTTGACTAAGAAGTCACGGGTATCGAAACTCAGCGCCACCCAGTTTTGAAAAAATAAAGGTTTCATGTGCAAGGTTTGAAAAAAGACTACGCTTGCATGTGAGGGGACGTGGTTGAATATAAGAAACATTTATTGGGCCGCAACTAGAATTATGAGCTTTTGGTTGAGTTGGTTCTTTGACATAGATGGAAGCCTATTCTGCAACTCTGAAATTTTCAGCCCAATTTCAATTCCAAGGGAGAATTGGGTTCTCGGGAAGAAGATGATCAAAGGGTGGTGGATGATAAACCCCAATCTTTTGGCTCAAGAATCTGCTACAAAAAGTTTGAATCTTGAAAGAAAACAAAGGGAGGATAAACCTGCAGTTGCTTTCTCTGTTCTCACTAAGAAAATAAGAGTGGGGTTCTCGTAATCCTATATCCTATCCTATCCTATATCATATATATATGTGTGTGTGTAAAATTAGGTTCAATTCTTGGAGTGTTGACACGTGGCATGCCACATAATAATCCACATGTGCATTCCTTGATGAGATGGATGAATTTTATTGGTCCATTTAATTATTTAAAAATACTCCCTCCGTTCTCAAAAACACTTTCTCTTTTATTTTTTCCACTTCCAACAAAACACTTCCCTTTTCTATTAAAAAACCACTTTTACCCTTACTTTTTCATACCCTACCTATCACATCATACTTTTTCTCTAATAATCTATCCATCACATCTTACTTTTACTCATCACATCAGGGGCAAAATTAGAAATCAACTATAATTTAACACTTCCTTATTTTTGCCCCAAATCCAAATGGGAAGTGTTTTTCCAAACGGAGGGAGTATCTTTTAACACATTTTATTGTATTACATTCAATAAATATTACTCACTCCGTCCCGTAAAACATGGAAGTTTTGATTTTGAAGATGGATTTAAGGGAAGTATATTTTGGTATTGAATTTCCAAAAATGTCCTTTGATGTGATGGGTAAAAATATAATTTGATGGATAAATTATTAGTAAAAAAGTATGATGTGATAGGTAGGGTATGAAAAAGTAAAGGGTAAAAGTAACTTTTTAATAGAAATGAGAAGTGTTTTTTGGGACGGATGAAAAAAGAAAGGAGAAAGATTTTATGGGACGGAGGGAGTATATTTTAGTATTAAAAACATTACTTTAATTATACTTTGTATAAAAATGTGATTTTCTAACAATTTTATAAACATATATCATCATTGTAATACACACACACACACACACACACACACATCTATAGACACATACATACATATATATTGTCACATATACATTCTCTAATAATGTACTCCGTATCATTATTTAATTAGTCTATTTTTTATTATAATGTTTTATTAATTAAAACCATTTTTATTAGTACTTCATTCAATAATGGCCATTAGTTTTGTATAAAATTTTTCTTTTTTTAAAAAACATACCAATATATATTCCACCAATTTAAAACATATTTTGTTCACATAATTCAATTATGTGTATAAAATATTTGTTAACTTTATCGATGTTTTGAAAAATAAAGTTTTATATGATTTTTAAAAACAATAAATTATTTCTCTTTTACTACTCTTAAAGAAAATAATTATAGAATCTTTAGTGCATGTATATCTATATTTAAATTATATTATTTGAAAAAAGATATATCACTAACACATATTATGTCACTATTAAAAAACTAAAATTAATAAAATTATATTTATAAAATGTCAAAAATTTAGAGTGTATACGAGCCCGTGCGAAGCACGGGGTTAACACTAGTTTTTTATTTATTTCACCCACATTTTATCATCATATGAGTGATGGAATTCAAGAGTTGGTTGGGTTTGTTTGATTATTTAAATTCAAAAAACGTGATAGCGGACCTTAGAAAAATGTGAGTTTTTACTGTGTATGTTATTGTTGTTGTTAAGATTGTAGAAGCACATGAGATATAGACAATGACGGCAAACCCTAAAAATGTGTTTGTTAGGATGTCATCATCAAGGACAAAGACGTGAGTTTATTTTGTTCGTTGTATTGTCTGTGGATGTCTGTGAGAAGATATAGGGTTGACTTTTGGCATTTTTTTCTAACTAATAATACTATAAACACAGGGTGTTGAAGAAGGATTCCACATCAGATATGGGATTACTGTTATAATGGAGAAAGCAATCATCAAAGATGGAACTATCATTTAAAATCACCACACCATTATTCATACATTTAAACCTGTGTAAACCTGGTTTTCTGGGGAAGGAAAAAAAGAACAATTTGCTACCATGTTGTGATTGTATAATAACAGCAGGTAATGCTGTCTTTTTTGTTATATTAGTAGTTAAAAAACTTCTTGAGTTTTTTTTTTAAAAAAATGCTTTTGTTTGTTATTTTAATAAATTTCTTGATTTTTTGGGGGGGTGACAAATCTGATAATCATTAAACAAAATCTCACAACTTTGATCCTTATGATGAATGGTGGAAGAAAAAAAAAGAGCAATGCTAGGGGTACACCAAAAGGTGTACCCCAAATGTACATCACCCCTTCTCCACTACACATTTTTATTTGATTTTTATTTACTTATTTTTTTTTAAAATATTTTTGCCTTTTTTAGTGGACAAGGAGGGGGTGGGGGAACCATCAAAAAAAAAGATAAAGCTACTTATACCCCAACATTTTGTACCCCACTTTGTACCCCGTAGGTTTGCACCAACATTTTGTGTTGGTGTAAAACTAATTTTTGTTAACGCACCAACACTTTGTGCCTGTGTAAATTTTTGTTAACGCATCAACATTTGTGTAGGTGTAAACCATCAAAATGTTTGTGTATAACTGTGGTGTACAAATGGGGTACAATTTTTGGTGTAAATGTAGTATGGTCCAAAAAAATATCGGACTTGGAAGAGTTACTGTCTGCAGCTGTTAGCAATGCAAGGGAAAACAGTGCCATGGAAAGTAGTTATTCATGTATTCCAAAACAACAAAAAGGAAGAAAGCAGCACCAAAAGTAATTCCAAATTCTGTATGAATATAATCCATCCATATGACAATATTTGGTCTAAGATTGTTACACCAATTCAATTAGAACACTTATATTGCTTCGAATTCCAAATTGATTATTCCTACCTCCTAACCCCTCATACAAAGCTCGTCTCTTAATTCATGGAGTATTTATTGTTTAATCAAAGTTTATCGAGTGTGACAGAAATGAAATTGCATGAATATGTTTAAGAACCAATTCAACCAAAAACTCAAACTTGTGATTGTGGCCCAGGAATAATTGTTATATACTCTAACACGTCCCCTCACGTGCAGGCGTGAGTGGCGGTGAGTTTTGAACTTGTGACCCCTTGGTCATCAAGACTCCGATACCATGTCAAGGAACCAACTCAACCAAAAGCTCTAACAGAATACACTTGAACAAAAGTATATATTTTAATGTACATTTATACATGCATTTGATCACAGTACATACGTTTTACAGTGTTGCCAAATATAGTACAACCTGACATTTGATCATCCACAGTTACAATTCATTTCCATTGTACAATGAATGAGCAATCACCCACTTGCTGCTCAAATGCATATAAACCAAAATAAGGAGAGTTTTAACATTAAGCCAAAGAGGCAAAAAAACAAAAACAAAAAAAAAGTTACTTTCTAAGACCAGATGTTATTAGGTCATCCAAACTCCAATCCGCAAACTACTACCTAATTCCACCCTTGGTCCCGACTTTCGGTGGTTTCTGATTTTATGCACGACTATGAATTTCTCGTCACTTTGGTATGTTTCAGTCACATTGTGAAATCAACTGAAAATTGTAAAGGACCAAACTTGGTAAGAAATTTATAGCCATCTACCAAAACTCCAAATGAAGTGGAAAAGTGAAAGCCATGGACCAAATGTGCGAATAAACTAATAGTCGTGGACAAAAAGGGTAATTTTTTTCCCTTACATGGGGGGCCCCGCCAAGCTACCATCACGAAATCACGCCGTAACAGGAATTCCCTCTTGGTTGTTTGTTTCAGAAGCCACTAGTTCCAAACTACAAAAGACCCCTTATTCTGAAACTGGCACGGTTGAAAGCCCTTCATGCCTTTTCCCATCAATGCCATGGCAGCTATGCTGGGAAAGTGTCGCTTTTGAATTTGCTCAGCTTCCAAACATGCACTCCCCGGCTCATAACCCCCCACCACTTCAGGAACCTGCAGAGATTTAGTAGCTCTATCACGAAGCAACCTCTGAATCCAAGGGTATGAAGTCAGTTTATCTCTACACGACTTCAAGTTCTCAGCAGCAGAAGAGGACTCGCCGACATTGTTCCTAGTAGTACATTTATCTTGAACCATCCATTCTTTGCCTTTATTTTTATTAGACGTTGGTTCAGAGCATGCTTTACCATGAAACCCGGTGTGCTGCTGCTTATACTCATGAGATGAATCCTCTTTTATGTTTAAGCTCCTTGTGCCAAGGGCCATATTGTAGAGATTACTCAATTTCAAACGCTTCACGAATCTGCTGCTTGGGTCAGATCCTGGAAGATCGGACTGAAACAGGGCGGGTTTTGAATTGCTGTTCTGGTCATTGTGAGCAATGATGAATGACTCCATGTCCAAACTGTGCGTGTTTGAACTTAGTTCCAAGTTGTCTGATGAAGATGCTTCAGCTGGTATGTCAAGGGTGTACGAGTTTACTATATTATTAGGTGTCTTGTTCTTCTTAATTCCATCAGATGTAACTCCTCCCATGGGTGTAAGATGGAATAATTTTTGGCCTCTTTCACACTCCTGCAACTGAGCAAGTTACTCTTAGACAAGAAAAAATTGCTTGACTTGTTTTAAATTTTCTATATACATGCATAGATAAACATATGTATGCATGCATTATGTGTGTGTGCAAACACACAGATATTTTTAACTATCCCACACTGATGGGTGGATTATGGAACTATAGTCTATCTTTCACTTGTATTATTTTCATGCAAAACCTAAACATGAGGAGTGAGGAGGATTAAAGTTATAAAGCTTTTCTATACATCAATTCTCACAATGTTTATATCTTGCACTTGCATTATTTTCATACAAAATCTATTGCAGGATTGAAAACTACTAACACAGATCACCATACTAAAATTCCACAAGTATAAAAAATTGTTCCGTAGTTTGTACTATGATCATATCACTCATATTTTAACATGTTTTATGACTAGATAATAATCTAAAATATCTTGTTAAATGAAGTATGAAACGGTTTTGGGTTATGAAATTTTAGGATGATGATCTGCCTGTTGGTAACTTTCAACCCGACTGTAGGTTTTGCTTGAAAATAATCCAAGTAAGCGTTGTTGAAGCGAACCGGAAAAGAGCCATACTTTTATTATCACGATTAAGAGACATCTAGATGAAATAATTATTTGTAATGATTGGGATGATTGTGGATGTTGGAAACACTTTAATGGCTTTTCAAAATCAAATGGGGGCATGAAGCCAGATCAAAATATTTTGGACTGAACACAATGCGAGCTGAAAAATAATCTGTCTAGATGTTAATAACTTAATATTATGAAATATTGAATATTTTCTCTTGAACCTTGTGACTGAAACATGTGAGAATTTCAAAAAATACATATATATTACTCCCTCCGTCCCAAAAAGAATGGGACGGTTTGACTTTTTGGGAAATTAAGGGAGGGATATTTTGGTATTGACTTTCCAAAAATACCCTTGATGTGATGGGTAAAAGTAGGATGTGATGGGTAGATTATTAGGAAAAAGGTATGATGTGATAGGTAGGGTATGAAAAAGTAAGGGGTAAAAGTGGTTTTTTAATAGAAATGTAACGGACTTTACGGGACGCAGTTTTTTCTAAACGTAACAAACTTTTTGGGACGGAGGGAGTACTTATCTTAATTACTTATTAAAATCAACCATTTTGTGTTTCTATGATGACCAGCGTGGAAGTGCAAAAGTTATACTTTGCTTGTTCCAACAAATTCTAGAATCAAAGTATCGACTAATGGTGTCAATTACCACAGATAATGCAGGGTTGCATTAGTTGTAAAGATTCATCTTTAAAAAATGTTATAGCTTTAACCCTTCTATATAATTGAAGAGTGCTGGATATATTGGGCTTAATAAATGCCTGAGTAGTATTAGTAAATACACACATTTTTAAATATTAATTTCTGCATAAAAACAAAGTCAAATGTCATCATAATGATGACAAGAGACAATATTATTTAGAGCAGAGATACAAAGTTTGGGTGGAGGTAAAGATGAAATGGCACTTCATGCATAAGTTCGTGTATAGTTTTTTTCAGCAAGAGCTAATCATATGTGGAGTATATGCTTCACCCATTTCAAAAAATTCACATTTGATTTTTTTTCATATAGAAGAGTGCAAATTGTTTGGTTCACATCAATTCACTCTCCTCTGCAAATTTTTAGTCTTTTCATTTACTTTTAAAGAAACAATTGTTTGGTTCACATCAATTCACTCTCCTCTGCACAACATTTCAACCACAAGATGTTTCTTCTCTTAAACTTTGTGTAAAAAGAAAATGGGAAGATTAAATAGGGGCGGAGGGAGCAGTGCAAAAGACTAGGAAGAAATGTGCACCACTATGTGAGAAGAAACACAACTTTATCAAGCGGTTAGAAGTCGAAAATCTTCACGCCTTGAATGCTATTTTGTAATGCACTTCATGTTATGATCGTATTAATGTTATAGGTAATGAAATTTTATAAAAGTGAAACTAAAGCTTCAATTTGTTCTTGCACAAACGGAAGTGAGCAAATGGGAAACTACATGTATCTTTCTCAACACGAAATATATGAGGGTGAGATTGATATATCATACAAATAATTGGGAAGACATATGCACCACATTGTAGTTAATATTCACATCTCTTAATAAACAGCTCATACTCCTCAAAGTAGAGGGTAATGCACTTTACATTATGTGAGTATGACATCTCTTGATTTTTGAACTTTTAGTTGGGCTTTATTGGTTATTTTTCGTGCTCTTATTTATCATATGGGCTTGGTTTAAAAAGTTTTTTAAAAAATGGTGAGTTTTATGTTGTATTGTGGTGCTCTTGAGCTGGAGGTCTCTTCTAATAAGTCTCTCTACTTTTGAGTACCCTAGACCCTACTTTTGGGGGGATTATTCTGGGTTCGTTGTTATGGTATATTGTGGCAAGCTTTTCCTTTGATGTTATTGAGTTTTGTAGTAGTTAGTGGTGAGCTTAAGCCTTTAATGATTTGGTTGGTAAAAAAATAATGAGAAAAAAATGAGTTGGTCTGCAATATGTTACATTAACGTGAGCTTAGCATTGCATGCTAGTGAGCTTTATAGTTGCGAGCGGTGGTGGGGGTAGGCTGTGTGTCGTTCGCTTGATCTAATCTGATTTTTGAAGATCTGATCAGGTTTTATCAGATCAGATCTGGTCTGATTGCAGTTATAATTAAAGTTGTTTCTGATCTAGTCTGGTCTAATCTGGTCTGGTTATAATAAGAATAAATAATAAGTTGAACGAAATGCTACCTTAGTGGGGAACCATTATTGATCCTCATATATGTGCACACACACACACACACATATATATATCATGGCCTTCATATAATTGAAATACATAAATGAAACTGACTTTCCCCTAATTTCAAAAATAATCTTACTATCTTTGAGCTTGTTTTAAATTTTCCTATTGTTTTCTTCCAATAATTCCAATGTTCTTCAATTCCTCCCTATTTTCTCATTTAATATTTTATGAGTTTTGAATGGACTTTAAAGTGATGGGTATATGGAGAATAAAGCAGTAAGCTATTCATGTGAAGTGAAGGATAAGGTATTGTACCTTTTTAAATAGTGAGGACGAACTGACACCTGAAACAGTATAAGTGAGAGAAATTCATTTCACAAAAAATATTCATACAAAAAGGAATATTATAGATTGCCCAATATTTAGCTTGTGAACACATTATAGATGCTAGAACACATAAAATGGCAATCAAGAAGGAAGACGCAAAAATGTATGTGTGTACCTAAGAGCTGGGTCTTTCCTGGAAAGGCATCAAAATCCATGGCATCAGTTTCAGCGGACGATTCATTCTTTGCATCAGCTTCTGAAGGCTCAACAACTCCAACATCTTCTTCAAGTTCACTGGCAGTGCAGCTATCCAGAAGCCGAAGCTTTACACCTTGCTGCTTCTGACTCAAAGCGGAAGGCAGTTTGTCTAAACTGCTGAATATTCGTTTATTGAACTCATTACATACTCTTGAAGTACCAACAGTTTGATTCTTCTTGCAGATATTCACATCGGATTCATTCATAATTAACAAACTGTGTGTTGTTTGAGAGAATCTAGGGTAACAACCCTTTAATCCCACAACAGAATCCATAGTAGTGCGTATTCTCATTGTCTTCATGTCATGCAAGGAGTGAGGGAGCTCTTCCGACATGCATATATTATTTAGTGTCTTGTTTGGTTCAGTTGCTTCTAAAGAAGCATCATTATTTTGGAACTTCACCAAACGAGGCCCATTCTGCAACTTCTGGAACCAGTCCCCGTTCATTTTCAGAGATTGCCTTCCACTTTCCATCTGGCTTTCATGGTTATGTTTATCTCCAAGCACTCGGCTACTGTTTGGTAGATGGCTTTTAGAAACTCTATCAATTAGCAATGGCATCTCAGTAATGGTGGGATCATCTTTAAGCTTTCCATAACCAAACCTATAGGGAACAATATGTGAAACTGATTCAATGCAATTGCCCACAGTAGGAACTGATGCAACGGTGTGGCTATGTCTGAAAAAAGAATGAGGTTTCACGCGTCTGATAGGATTCTGAAGTGAGGCTTCTGACTCGGAATAGTTCTTCCCAGATGAAATAGCAGTTGCAGAAGTAGTGTTTGGATCATTATGAGGCTTAAAGGAAAGACATCCACGAGGTTCTTGACAGTCCCTAAGAGGCAACTCATTTCTACTGACCATTGACATAGTGGCCGAGTGATGAGAGCTTTCTACTTTAAAGTTTCCAGAAAATGCTCTGAAACTATGGTTAACAACTTGACGAGTTTGAGATCCAATGTTTCTTAACTCTCCAGCACTCTGAAGTTCGACTTCATCAATTTTCTTCTTGCTCTCAAAAAGATTGTTAGGAGCACGGAAGCCTTGTGATGTGGAATTCTGACCGGATCCAACCCATCGCGTTACCCAAACAGATTGAATTGATCCGGTTCTCTCATCACACTCTTGATACGATTGTGCAATGCTCTCCGACATGATGAAATATGGAGCTTGAGGCTTTACCCTTTTCCAATTGTATTTTTGCCTTCACAGGTTCATGTCAAGCTCATTTTAATGTTCTGATAAATTAAATTTGCAAATATGAAAAAGAAGGAAAAAATCATTAAAACCAATAGCTTATTCCATTCATTCCACAATTTTTCTGAAGAAAAAAAAAAGGATTCGCCACAAAATCTCTCTTACCTCATTCAGCTTACACTTATAGCTCTAGAACTATTAACCAAATCCGAATAGGTGAACCACCAGAGCAAGCCAACGAAGAGCAAAAACGATTGAATCGAGGACAAATATTCTAAACACGAATGAAACAGAAGGGAATCAGGCTGTGTTGGCTCGAAGTGAAACCTAGAAAGTTACCTCTGGTATTGAGTCAGAAGTTGGCTGGTACATAGGGAGCAAGAGGAGACGGAGGTAGGCACCGTACAAACAGATCGGACCACGGCGGCGGCAAGCTGCGACAAAGGTGAAAGGAGAGAAGGAGCGAAGAAGATGGCCAGCGACCCCTAGGAATGGAATAACAGCGCAGATCAGAGGTTTTATAAACCTGTGGCTGAGGTTCCTCAACATCTTGTCCCACCTACACTCTCCCCACCACATTCCTTTCTATGAAAAATTCACACTAATAAGTCAAAGAAGTTACTCCCTCAGTCCCGGAGTATTCGTCCAGTTTTGACTTTTGGAACTGTTCATCTAAGCACTTTGACTCATCAAATTCTCTCAATGTGTAAGCCTAAATATAGTGATGTGTGATCTTATTTGATTTGTCTTAACATATAGATTATTAATATATAATTTCTATAATTTTTTAATATACAAATTACAAGATAAAATGAATTAAAGAAGTGTATTGGATGGTATGTAAAAATAAAAGTGGACAAATACTCTGGGACGGAGGTAGTATGATTTTATGTTAATACTTTGAAATTGAATAATTTATATGGTTGTTCTCAAAGATTATTCAATTTTATATCAATACTTCGGACTACAAATTAAACAAAATACGTAGTACTTTAAATGATGACGATAACTTATTAAATATGTATTGGTTACTACGGAGTGATATAAAATAAAATAATGTTTCAGAAAAAATAAAGAATGTTAAAGTACATATTTCATAATCAAATTTATATTCATTGAAAAATCTTTAAAATATAAATTTTGGACTATATCAACTTTAAAATTCTCTAATTTTTTTATATAAAACACTATTAATAATTTATTCTATTAAAATGTAAACGCTTAATTTTTTTAGTTTTAACACATTTTTATTTTAAATCGATATGGAGGAGGATATTTGTAACACATTCAAGGTATTTCTTATTTTTGTAATTAATTACCAACAGGGGAGGATCTACATACATGAATACGGGGGCAGTCGCCCCAGTCAACTTTTTTTTACTTCGTAATATACACTATTAAAATAAATATTTTTGTAGAAAATTAAAAGAATGACCTTGGTAAAAAATTAGTTTGCCCCCAGTGACAAAAAAATCTTAGTTTAAAAGTAAAATATAATTACTTAAAAAGATATACAGGTAAAATATTTGAAGTATCATAATTATATTATGTTATGATATACTTTATATGAAGTATTTTATTTTTCTACTTTAAAAATACTTTTTTCTTATTTGAATACTTCTTGAAATTAAATTTATTTATTTTTATCATTATCAAACGCTTTAAAAAAATTGTGAGCGCTACCCCTGAATCCCCACCATACTATTTAGTGTGCGTTTGCCCCCAGTCATATTTTTTTCTATATCCGCCACTGAATTTACCAACTCATACTTAATAATTATCTAGCCACTACTTAAAATGTCACGTATTTAGCTCGCTTGGCAGTCTGGAGTATTGATATAAAATTGAGTTACTTTTGGGAGCAGTATTATAAATTACTTAATTTTAAAGTATTATCGTAAAATCACAAATTTCTTAGAATATTCATGTGAATTTTCCCTTTTTCTATGGAATACTTAATTTCAAAGTATTATCGTATAAACAAAGGTTACAAGTATATGATATTTGAAAACTTTGTTTCAAAATAAATATTTTATACTATAAAATTTGTATCACAATTTTATGTATTTTTTCGTAATTTATTGACATAATTAATATAAAAATTCTGACTAAAAATTTTGACTACATAAAATTGTACTTTATAAGCTTGAACCGCGGTTGAAGACAGAGTAGTGTTTCATTGTAGACGGAATGGTCGATTGCTACACGAAACAGTCGACCGTCACGATCCATTCTAGTACCAAAAAATTCAAATTTTGAATTTGTAAAATTTTATTTTACTGCTTTTCAACTATAAATCATTATTGCTATCATTTTAAAGTTAAAAATAACATTTTGATCCATTCTAAAACTTAAATAATTGAATGATAGTAAGTTATGAATTAACACTCGACGTTAGATCATTACTTATCATAAATGTTATATGATGATGATGATTAATAAATATTGACTATGATAATTAAAATAGTGTCATGTGTAAGTATGATTACATAAATGATACTAATCTTTTCTTGATGAAATATTAGAATATTATTAAGAGCGATTAAATCGTATGATAGTTGTGATTGAATGTGTTTGAGTGAATATCGTGATTAAATGATGATTGTGAAAAACTGAGACTATTTAGAAGAACTTTAAGGTAGGCCATATGTGACCAATTTAGTTAGATCTTGCGGATATGATGTCCGGTGGCCAGGGTTAAAATGTACCTACGGAATCTACAAACCAAACTTGAGTATCCACTTGTTTGGGGTACCACCCAACCCGACGGTGAGTACACCACTGTTCGATTTTGAACGTGACATATAAGACTCATAGAATAAATCATCGATTCTTGTGTTTTGTCTTAGACTAATTATAGTTTAAGTGTCTGGTTATTAATATGAATTAGCATTAAACTAATTATAGTTTAAGAGTCTCATTATCAATATAAATTATCCTCGGACTAAAAATAATTTAAGAGCATTGTTATGATTTGGCCTTAGTCTAGAAGAGGTTAAGAATAATTGTTTATGATAAAATTTGATATAAAGTTATGTGTAACAAATGATGACTATCGTGATAACTAAAATGACATGTAATTGTTGTGAGTCGTGGATGGACATGTAACGCCCCAAAATATACCCTAAAATTTATTGAATTAAATATTCAATTAAACAAAATTTGTTTTGATTAAAATAAATTGTTGTTGGGATTTGGGCTTGAATAAAATATATATTGATATCCAAAAAAAAACATAATTGGGATAAATCTTATAGAGATAAATCCAACATGTTGATTTATTGTGTGATCTTGATTGGGAACCTGAGTAAAGACCCAAATCAAGAGTAAATAAAGAATTTGTTTAGAATGTAAATATTGAAATGATTTGTTGAAATAAATCATGAGAATAATTGATATGAATTAAATGAGAAAACATTTTATGAGAAAGGTCAATTAAACCAATTTTGACTCTGCTAAGGTCAAACACCCAAAAATGTGGTGTCGGGAAAAGTATAACAAATGAATATAAAAATTATATCGTTGGATAGAGTTCGACTGTCTGATCGCAACGGTGCAAACGGATTTCAATTCGGAGAAAGTTGGATCGAAAAGTGTACCCCGACTGGACAAAAAATTAGCCCCAATCAGAGAGTAACGTGCTGAGTCTCCTTAAGTCGCACTATCGCCGAAAGAAGAACGTGAAGTTCCTACGCAGCATCTACTCAGACTTTGTTTCCTTCTTCTTCATCTTCCCTATAAAAGGAGAAGCTAACTCCCTCATTCCTTCACCATTCTCCTTCAAATAAACTCGAAGAGAAAGCTGTGAGTGTGGAGAACGAAGTTGTGCTGTCAATTTGGTGTGAAG